ATGTGTAGTTATAAGTATATAGTATGTAATTAGACACAGAAATAAACCAGGTATCTCTTCATTATACTCCTTCCCATTCTTTGTTCCTACAGCTGCCTCATTACCTCTCCCTTGCAGCTCAGAACTCACTCCCCACCCTCAAGTCTGTCCTCACATCAACTGCCTGCCATCTCTACAAACCTCCAATTTGACTACATCATCTACATGCTGAAAGGTCTTTGGTGGCTCCTCACAGTTTATATTTTGAAGCTGATATTCCTTAGCATGTTACACAATTCTCATTCCCAGTCAAGTGATGTTTACGTTTGGGATGATGGAGTACAGCAGGCTGACTGGGTGGAGTGTGGTAGGAGCAGAACTCTTTAGGTGACTGATAGTCCCAGAGGACTCTACTAATCTAGTGTCTTTGTCCTGAGTGATGATAATGCCTTTGGGTGAGGAAGTACTTACCAGACTCTGGACCAGTCCAAGTTTATTATTAGTGTTATTATTACATTTGCCCACTGTGTGTGTTTATATGTGGGATATGGCATATGTGTGGCTATCAGAGGACAGCATGAGGGTTTCAGTTCTCTCCCTTCCACCATGTAGATCTCAAGAACTGAACTCAGTTTTTTTTTTTTTTTTGGTTTGTTTTTTTTTTTTTTTTGTTTTTGTTTTTGTTTTTGTTTTTGTTTTTTGGTTTTTGGTTTGTTTGGTTGGTTGGTTGGTTGGTTGTTATTGTTTGTTTGGGTTTTTGTTTGTTTGCTTGTTTGCTTGGTTTTTTAAGACAGTGTTTCTCTGTGTAGCTGTCTGTCCTGGAACTTGCTCTATAGACCAAGCTGGCCTTAAAATCACAGAGATGTGTCTTGGATTCCTGGAATACTCTGATACTTCTAAGTGGGTTTTCTGTTTGTCATGTTTTATGATGGGAAACTCAGGTTCCTGGAATTTGTCACTGCTGTAGAGTCCCACAACTAGTGTGTAACAGAATTAGGCATCATCTCAAACTATCAGAACCCTTGACTACATCCTATACAGATCTGAAGAGCCAGTGGAGACTGCCTATTCATAGACCCAAACTCCACCCTCTAGCTCCCATCTACCTCTCCTAAACACAACCCCACTACACATCGTCTGGGTCCCCAGTCTTCATCCTGATCCAACCTTACCCCAGCCCTTGTCTGATTCACCAAGTTATCCTCAGCACCCCCCCCCGAAAGGCCATCTCTCACAGTGCTCCACTGGGGGCCATGCTAAGCATCTCTGCTCTTTGCTCTCAAGGCAACCCTTGTTACACTTATCAGATCACACTCCATTCTAACCTTGCTCTCTCAATAAGATTGTGGGCTCTTTGTGGCAAAGATAGGGCAGCTTCCTCTGTGTTTTCTGGTCCTAGCTGGAACCTGGGATGGAGTAAAATCTTCATAAATATCTGTAAACTTGGATGTACTGAGTGGATGTTCAAACTGGGAGATTTTGAGTGGCTATACCTATAGACATTTGCAATATACTTTGAATTCTAAAGAACTTACACTGATGATTTCGTGTAGTCTTCTGATGCTGATAATGTTCCCACAGCTAAGGAAACTAATGCTTGGTTTTCTCAAGTTCACCTAGTCAGGAAATGGCCAGGCTAGGACTCAACCTCATGTCTCTCTGAGTCCAAAGTTTTCTCCCAGATTTGATTCAACTTGCACATTTTACCAAGACATCGTAAATAGGAGAGAGAAGTTGCTGGCTGAGGGTCATTCTGTTTGTTCCCCAGTCTATGCTCCTTTGCTCAACAGTAAATGTCCAGCAAGGTGAGAAGAGGGCCCTGGACAGGACAGGAGTGTGCTGCCGCCGTATCTTTCCATTTACTCTCTCCTTGTGTGTCATAACCTGAATGTTTAAATTTTGTATTTAGTATTTACTCTGAAATGGCTTTCATCTGATTTCCCCCTTGCTCACCAATTTAGCTGTCAGAGTAAATAAATGTGAAGCTGGGTCTCCAGTCTTTCCAGCTCACATTACCTTCCTAGAATTACTCCCGGCGGGGTGGAACCATTGCTGGGGGCCTCCCACAGAATTATCCGGTTACTAATGAAACCCCTTTTCAAGCCCAAACCTTCTAGGACAACAGAGTCTCAGGTTGGGGGAGGATGGCAAAATCCACTTCAGAGGACCAGATGACCATATCCTGTTAGTGACCAGTGGGAGCAGAAATGATGACATTATAGATGCCTGGTACTAAACACAACTCTAGAATGGATTCAAGATTTGTGAAAGTATTAGGTGCTTAATGTGCGGTTAGTTGTCACTCCAACCCTGAGGGGTGAGGATTGTTATCCCCACTTGCAAGTTGGGACTAGAGCCCTGAGAGGTAAAGTGACCTACCCACAGTCTCCTACAGGAGGAAAATTAGTGTCCTGACTGATGAACAGACTAAACGAGTTGCTCTCAGTTTCACAAACTGGCCTCATTCTGCTACAGTAGTCTGGGCTGAATGTGATTTCATTTTTGTCTTTGAAGTTGGATACAGAAATGGTCTATTGCTTCCTTGGGTGAGTTATTCAGGGGAGTTTTTGAGTGTTTGTATTATGCCCTGCCTATCCCAGAATGAAATTGAAGTAGTATTCAGTAGAACAAACACACTACAAAATCAGATGGGTCCATGCCATTCTGTGTGTAACAGCCATTCTGAGTCATTGGCATCCCTTTCACAGTTGGGTGGGGCTGTTGCTAAGGAGGTGGGCTCTTTATCATCCCCACCTGGAAGGTGAGGGAACTGAGGCTAAAGGGGTGAATGAAGTACTTGCTAACCCAAATAATAAGTGTTAGGTGAGTCCAGAGGCATGCTGCCCTCAGTTTTTGGACTTAGGTATTGCCTGAGTTCAATGCCTCTTATTCTACTTTTGATTTTCCTGAGGATCTAATCAGAATCTAGGAGTGGAACTGCATGGAGATACATTTGTTGGAAGTGCCAACACTGAGTCTAGATTCTAATAAACAAGGCCACTGTACATTGTTATAGAGTTGCTAGGCAGATTGGAGAGCATGGTGCACACGCACACAGAGCAGAACAATGTTACACAAATGGTGACTACACCATTGTCATAGTCATTGCCATCATCTGGGAGTACAGACTTCCCACTCCTCCTCATAGCAGTGGCACCACCTGTCTGCTGACACTGGACCTTTGCCATCACTCTCTATCTGGACCACTGTCTTCTGTCTCCCAAACTATGACAATCTCAACTGCCATTTCATTTCAACTGATGTTTTCTTCTCTAAGAAGATTTGAAGGAGTAGCACAACCTTCAGGTCTTGTCTTTTTGGGTTCCTATGCACACCATGTACTGTGTATTGCCCTCTGGACTCTCCAGAAGATAGGAGAGGAGAGGACAGGAAAGGAGGGGAGGGAACAAGAAGGGAGGAGAAGAGAGACACAAAGACAGTGCTATTGTTTTTCTATCTTTGTTAATGAGCCAGAAGTCATATCCATATTTTTGACAAAATATGGAAAGTGTGTGTGTGTGTGTGTGTGTGTGTGTGTTCACATATCACAGTCATGGGTATAGCCTAGAAATCAAGGTGATAAACTCTATCGATGAATCTGGTTTTGAGTTCTTGGCTCAGGTAGTTATTAAACATGAGGCACTACGATGGGTATGAGTCCTTTAAACCTCAGTTTAAAATGGGTACCATAGGGGATGCTGCCTCACACAGGTAATGAAATCATGATTGTAAGATGCTTAGCACTTTAATGTGTAGCCCAGATGAAAGCATCCAAGAATAATAGTGTGTATGTGTACATATGTGTGCATGTACACACCCTTACCTACTTCCAAAGTGTAATCTGTTCTCTTTACTATAAAAGATTGGTTCAGAACCCTTCTTCTCTCTAAATGCCTGTAGGCCTGAGAGCAATAAATTACTGGAATGCAAGGGCTGATGCCATTAGCTGGGGCTATTTCTGCCTTCAGGTGCAGATATGTGTGTTTCTATGGGTTTGGAGGTGGGTTTTTAGTGCTGTGATGGTGTCAATGTGTGTTTCTGGCTATGCCTATTTGTGCAGATGGAGACTGACAGCTGGTAATGCTGTTCTTTGTAAAGGTGTATGTTGCTTTCCCATAGCCTGGTGCCTTGTTTCACCACCTGTAGGAATGCAGTGCATAGTAGGAGATGTCAGATAACAGGCAAGGGGTTACACAAGGTTTGGAGCTCTGTGGAAGCCTGGACTCTCCTGAATATGGCTGTGTGTACAAGTGTAAGTGATTCTGGGGGTGCTGTTTACGTCTGTAAATGAGGGCAATTATGGAAATTGTGGTCTTGTGATGGGTGGGTTGTTTTGCTATGCAGGACTGGATCTAAATCTGAGTGTGCACATTTTTTAGAAGAGGTTGTATATTTATACACTTCTTTGGCACAGTTTGGCTGAGGCTTTAAGTGTCCATTTGTGTTTGTCAGTATAAGGACTTTGAGTTGGAGGGCTCTGTGTTGGAGGGCTCTATATGTCCAGGCCTCTGCTTTTCTCTAACTCTCATTATCGTTAGAGCCCCATGGAAGGTAGAAAAATGGAGCGAAGTCAATCTTAAAGGTGGATGTCCCAAACTACCCTCCCTCTGCCACTATCACACTCTGCTCTGACCACAATCCTATTCAGCTCCTAAGAGCTACTGCAGGCTCTGGCTGTTGTGGAGCAGAGATACCTTTGCAGGAGTATGAGGGGAGTGTAGAAGTCCGGGCCCTGGAGGTTGGTGTGAGCAGGTAACCATTTGCGACCATGTGTACACAAATGTGCCCAGTTCAGCATTGAATCAAGAGTGTGGCTTCACATGGAATCCAGCTCTGCAGATAGGCTGACCACGGATTCCCCTAGCACTTACGAACCTGCTGTGTGAGTGTCGTGGGTGTCTTTGAGGGAGGGGCGGCAGTAGGAGCTGTGAGGATGTAAACCCGCCAGTGTCTTTGTATGTTAGCATATTCTGAGAGTCTCTCTGTAGCGCTGAGTTTCAGTGTGTCTCGCTATGTGTATATCTCTGAGTCTCTGCCTCCTTGTGAGTGTCTCGCTCTTCTTAGCAGGGAGGGGATTGGTCACGCATGACTCATCTTGAACGGAGCTGGGCTCCAGCGGCAGGGCGGTCGTCGCCGCAGCTGGAAGGGGAGGAGGACGAAGAGGAGGGAGAGGAGGAGGAAGAGGAGGAGGAAGAGGAGGAGGAGGCGGCAGCCGCAGAGGCAGCTGCGGGGACCTCTTCAAGTTTGTCGGGACCTTCGGAGGAGGAGGCAGTGGCGCCGGCAGCCAGGGAGACTGGGACTGCGTTCAGGCCGGGGGCGGGGGCTGGGGCAGGGCCCGGGGCTGCGGGGCCCGAGCCTCCGCTTTCCAGTACTCTCAGCAGCCTCTGCCCCCAGGGCGCCCCAGGCCCCCCTTCGCGCCGTTCTCCGTGCTGCGCCCAGGCCGATCGCTCCGCTCCCGGGCCCATGTACTGGAAGCATGAGAGCGCCGCCCCGGCGCTGCCCGAGGGCTGCCGCTTGCCGGCGGAGGGCGGCCCCGCCACGGACCAGGTGAGCTAGTTGGCGAATGGGTAAACCTCGAGGATCCCGAGGCCAGTGAGAGCCGGGATTCAGCTCGGCCCAGCCGAGTAGCGGGCGCCAGCAGGGAGGAGGGGTGCTGGGTGAGCCCAGGGAGTGTGTGTCTATGAGTATGAGAGCGCGCGAGCGAGTACGGGGGGGGGTCGCGGAAAGCGGGAACACATTATGCAAATGTTGGAGGAATTTCTCAAAAAGCGATTTAGCAAAGACATAGGCGAATCAAGAGGAGGCGAGGCCAGTATTGTCCGCCTGAATAGGCGCTGATAGCGCCGTTGCGCCGGGGGTTGTGCCGGCGCAACGCTGAGAATCCCGACTCGGGGACCGTCCCGGGCGCTCCGAGAGTGTGGAGGGTTCTCTTGCCTCCTCCGGGAGGCCGCTCTTTTCTTTTTGGCCTCATTTCACTTGCCGATCTCGCCCTCTTTAGCTACGGGCTTCCCTTGGACTGGCTCGTCCAGAGGCGTTTGAATCGGTGTCAATATCCCCGCTTCAATTTTGCGGCACGCGTCGGGCGGGAGGGCGGATGCTCCTAGTGCTCTGGGTTTTATTTTCCTCAACCACCACCACTACCACCACCACCCCCATCTCCTTTTTTATTTTCTTTCTCTCTTTTCTCCTTTTTGCATTTTGTACCGAGAGTAGGAGAAGGGAGGGGTGAAGGGAGAAAAAAAATTCGATTTTTAATTACTACCATTAAAAAATCAAATTTGCAATTCTTTGGGCGGCCTGATGGATCTCACTGATTGACAGTTGGAATTGACACTCTGGCTACCTCTTATCTTGGGCATTCACGACAATTTCTAATTGCAGGTAGTTTGTGTGTGTGCGTGTGTTTTTCCCCCCTCAGAGGCTTGGATTGCAAAGGAACTAAGCGATTACTTCAAGAGCCACGGGTTAAGTGCAGGGAGAGGGGGAGAGAGAGGGAAAAAATCCAATCCAAATTCAAATTGCTTCATTAGAGAGACACCGCTTTTGTGGGGAAGGGCTTTAAATGCCCACTACAAAGTTAGGACTCATTGTTCACCGCCGGTTTATATAACAGGCGCGGGGAGGCGCTGGGCTCTGACAGCTCCGAGCCAGTTCAGCAGCCGTCGTCGCTTGCCTTCCCTCCCCCTCCCCCAGGTGATGGCCCAGCCAGGGTCCGGCTGCAAAGCGACCACCCGCTGTCTTGAAGGGACCGCGCCGCCAGCCATGGTGAGTTCATTCGGCTCTGTTTTCCGCCCTGAATCCCCCCAACAGCACAGGCCAGGGCGTCTGGCTAAACCTTCTGGCTACCAACCTCTACCCCAGCCCTGGAGAATTGCCGATAGGAGCCGCCTCGCGTTGACTCTTGATTTTTCTGGCCTGGAATGTGGGCTTTGGCTACTTCCTGCACCCAGGATACATTGTGTTGAAAGTTGGGGGCCGTCCTCTCTTCTCCAATAAGTCCTTTCATTCTTGTCCTCCAGCCTAGGGTCCGACTTCCCTGGTACATTTCGTTGTCAGTTAGTGCGCAAAGGAACCAGATTTGTCTTTACAGCAACTCTGGGTGTGTCTGGCTTAACGCTTCGTTGTTCTTCTTTCCCATTTCAGGCTCAGTCAGACACCGAGGCCCTGGCAGGCTCTCTGGACAAGGACGAAGGTCGAGCCTCCCCATGTACGCCCAGCACACCGTCTGTCTGCTCGCCGCCCTCTGCTGCCTCTTCCGTGCCGTCTGCAGGCAAAAATATCTGCTCCAGTTGCGGCCTCGAGATTCTGGACCGGTATCTGCTCAAGGTGAGTCAGGGTAGGTGTTGCCCGCTTGTCGGTGGGTGTGAACTTTAGGGAAACCATGAGGACTGGTAGGGAGGCAATGTTCTTGCCAGGTCCATTTTATTCCGCATCCTAGTTCAGCCGCTGACGGGTTGCACAGCTTTGGGCAAGTGTGGGAGGTCGCCTTTTGCTCCGAGATCCAACTAGAAAATGGGAAGAGAGTATTTCAATTTTCTTGAGCCTCCGTATTATAGAAGAAAACTAGGGAAGCCATACTGAAGCCTCTTCCGAGCTTCAGTGTCTCTCTCTGCAAATGAAGCTGGGGAGGCTGGGGACGGGTGTGAAAGAGGCCCGCGCTGAGCCGACCCCCCCACCTCTGCCCCCTCCCCAGGTCAACAACCTCATCTGGCACGTGCGATGCCTCGAGTGCTCTGTGTGTCGCACATCGCTGAGGCAGCAGAACAGCTGCTACATCAAGAACAAGGAAATCTACTGCAAGATGGACTACTTCAGGTAGGCTGCGGCGGTTGGGCCAGCAAGGGCTGATGCATGCAGGGCTTGCACAAGCGTGTCTAGGCCACTAATGTGGCCTGTGGTCTCCAACTCCTGCACCCTGCCTTCCCGCACTCGGCACACTGGCCCAGCCCTTCGGCTCTGCACTTCTCAAACAGAAGGCTCCAGGTAGAGAAAATGCCTGTGCTAGCACGAGTTTGGGCCCAGAGTTCGGTCACGGTTCTGGCTTCGTCTCTGGTCTTTTTTGAATCTCAGGTTCCAGTTGTGTTTTGTCGAGCTTTGACGTCCGTCGGGTCAGTCCGTGGCTCTGACTGGGATCGGTCCGGCTGCCAGCTGCCTTCTGGCTGCGTCTCTAGCTCTGGTTCCGTCTTAAAATACAGTTGTCCTGGCCTGTCCTGGGAGGGATCCTAAGCTAAGCTCGGGACTCTCGTTCTAACTTTGCTCTGCTCTCAGTTCTGGTCTTAGATCTGCTCCATCCCCAAGGGCCAACGCCATATTAGACTCGTCTGGCCCTGGTGCTTAGTCCTAGGCACCAACCTCGATTTCTGCCTCTGCCTCAACCGTTGCCTTAGTCTGCTTTTGAACTGGAGTAATGACTGGGTCCCACTACTGCTCGGCCATCGTTTCTACCTGCCTTGGTTTAGGTTCTAGCTCTGGGCCTATAAAGATCAGCTCTCAGGGCGCCGCCGCATTGCATTCCACCTGGCTACACTCTCAGGGCGCCGCAGTGCAGTAAGCGTGTTCCCCAGCAGCTCTCCACCGGTCTTTGCTGGTTGTATGGTCCTGCCCGGCCCTGGCCGCTCCACCTCTTGCAGGCGCCTAACTTCTAGGCACGCAGTAGGCGCCTGCTGACCGGGTCACAGAGTCCAGGTCACGGCAGTGCCCAGGGGCATCACGAAAGATCTGCCCGTTCTAAGCCGGAAGAATGATTTGGAATTGGTTTCTCGGAGCAACGCCTTCTTCCAAACGCTTTCTCCGGAAGTGGAGAAAACTGTCCTGTGGCATATGTTACATATAGGCAGGCAGGCAGGCAGGCAGGCGCGCGCTCGCACTCACGCGCGCGAACACACACACACACACACACACACACACACACACACACAAGTCCTGACTCAGTTTTCCGAGGAAAACTGAGAAAGTCAGAGAATGTGGTGGGCGTCCACCCTCATCCTCTTCGAATCACCAGGGACCTAGAAAGAAGTCCTTGAACCTAGTAAGAAGTTAGTAGCTTGTGGGACTGCAGCTCTCCGAGAAACCAGGTGAAGCAGCCTCTTCCTTCATGTCATAGGGATGGAGTGCTTTACCTGCCGTTTCTAGGACTGTGTTCCAGGAATGGTTTGGAATTTACATGTTGCTGGAGATGTATCATTGAGCAGGAGCAGGGCATGTGGACAGTGGGTATGTCTTTCTATTCACATGTGAGTGTTGAGAATATAGGTCTGCTGAAACTTTGGTGGGCCCAGTGGCTTGCCAGGTGCTTAGGACAGTGGACAGACACATCTGGATCAGGATGTAGGAGGACAAGTCCACCTCCAACTTCTCTGAGGGAGCTTTGCAGAGGTGAGGGTGTGGGGTTTTTGTTGTTGTTGTTGTTGTTGTTGTTGTTGTTTTTTGGGTTTTCTTTTTGTTTCTTTCTTTTTCTTTTTGGCTGAAAACTGCTGTGCATATACATAGAAGAAGGTCATGCCTATATGGTGTGTAACAAAGGGATGAAGTCTGCTCTGTCTGATGTATTATTGGTCTAGTTTAGACGGATAATGTATATTACACTTGCTTTCTAGTCACCTTTTGCTCTAGGCCTAACTCCTATTAGGGAGAGGGGAGTCAACTGATTTTGGGGTGCTTTTGAGCAGGTCAAAAGAACTCAAGAACCCACCAAAATCGTGTCTAGGCCTCTATAGAAGAAGGCTGGGCAGGTGCCGCCTTCTGGCTTTTCTGATGACAAAGGCCTGAGCAGCTTTACCCTGTGTCGGAATTTCTTCCCATTATCTCCTTGCTGGATTGAGATTCCTCAGATGTCATGCTTTACAAAAGCTTGAAGGACTAGTCAAAACTAGGCTCTTGATTCCATCATTTATAGCCCCCACCAATCCCCATTGCACCACACCACTGCAGCCAACCTGGGAATGGACAGGAGAAAGAGCTCTGTGAGGCTAATTGTGACCTTGGGCAAGTCACGGCACCTCTGGTCTGATGTTCCTTTCCCAAGATGGTCTCTTGAACTAAGGAGGCCACCAAGAGGGAGCAGTCTCCATAAAAGCCAATAAATGACAGCAAATATGAGTGCTTCTGTTATAACCATTATGGTCATTGGCAGGGTGGGTGCCAGACATGAACCTGTGATGGCATTTCCCCAGGCAGCCTAGAGAGCTGGACCTGACTGTTCAGCTGTGCCATTTCTATGAAGAGGTTCTGACTGATAACCCTTTTCCAATGGCAGGCAATCTCAAAACAAAACCAGATTCTAATTTAAGAAAATGGAGTAAATAAAATCTCGCATTACCCAAAAGGAGGGTAGAATTGTAAATTGTCTGATCCCTTCTCTCCCTGACAATCTCCATGCAGGCATAAGTCATTGCTGGCAGCCTCACCAGTAACATAAATAAGAAAGCCCAAGGCAGGGAAAGAGAGCCTTGGAGCATCATGCAAGGACTATTGTCTGCCTGGGCAGCAACACAGACTCTTCCCAGAGAGCTGAATAATGGTGTGTGGGAGGCAGAATTCCCGCTTAAGAACTGGGCCTAAAAGAAGGCCAGCTATACTACTTCTTCTCTGTTTCCTGAAACAGGGGGTCAAGGGTCTGATAGGGTGTGGACTGAAGTATTCTGCCAAAGGGAGGTAAGATCTTCCGACAGGGTAGAGGAGAATGGTGAGGGAAAGAGTGAACACTTTGGCTCCAAGAGCTTCTCACCTCTGACCTTGTCCCCACAAAAGGGTTTTTATCCCGATTCTGCCTCCTCTCTCTCCCCCTCTCCTAACATTATCTCTTAGATTTTTCTTAAGTCTCCACTGGCACAGTGGATGTTGGTGGCTCAGAAGTTAGAGATCAGGAAGAAACTTCAAGTTCATCTGGGAGGGAAGTTTCAAGAGTGGGGGAAGTGGGGAGCCTGGCGCTTCATTCCCCTCACTTATTTGCACTTGTACAGGGCAGTTGGTAGTCACCCCCCCCCCTTATGTGCCCTTTGCCAGGTTTCTGGACATTTTGGCCTCAGTTTTTCCAATTTCTTCTCCAAGCAGAGAACACACCAGCTGTTGTGAATTCAATTTGATTCTTCAACTACCCCCTACTCTTGGCAAGTTGTGGATGAAACATAAAATCACCAACAAGGAAGTAGGGTTTAATTTCTCTCCTTTTTTTTTTTTTTTTTCTGAAACATTTTCCCTGATTGTCCTCCATGAACTGTAGAAAATTTTGGTGTATGTGTGTGTGGAGGGGTGTCACGTTCCTTTTTGGAACATTCATTTTTCCATTGTCATCAGCAAACATAGCCCAAAGCAGTTTGGTGTGCCTACCTGCAGCTGTTGCCCTGCGCCTGCTGGCATGGCCCTCAGAGCTCCTATGGTCTCCTATGTTCATTTGTAGCAGAGAAGTCCCATGTGCTACGAGAAAAGCCCAGGGTCACCCAATGATTGAGAGCATACAGTGAGATTATCAAACCTTTTATCTGCTGTATCCTGTATCTCATTTAATCATGTGATCCACCCTGTATGATACATCTCCATATTATAGAAGGGAAACTGAAGCTCTGAGGGATAAGTCAGTCAAGTAATATGTGGTAATGCTCAGCCCCCTGACTTCACAACTTCTTCCTCTGAGAGGCCCTATGCTTCTACAATCAAGATGCAGCTGCCACTGCTTGCGATTGTAAGCTCTCTCTGCTATCCCTCTGATTCTTACCCAGTTCACCCGATTCACATAAACAGCAGCCACCATACAGTTGTAGTATGGTCCCAGGGGCACTAGAACAGAAGTAATCTTTTTAGACATCAATAACTAGCAACTTTCCTGAGACCAAGGACGGTGGTCCTTATCCCTTTCTCTTTGACAATGGAAATGGGGAACAAAGAGTTATAGGGATGGGACTGGGAGCCTTAGAGTTCCAGAACTAGTTGAAGATCCTGTTCTCTGGTTGGCTTACTTTGGAGGAGGGGGGCTCCAGCCTTTTGTGGCCTTCCACCTTGGGCCTAAGCTCTGTCTCTGGACTTCAGTCCCTTTCCTTGAAGCTAGGGTCCCAGAGAAGACTGAGAGAGAATGCCAGCTCCCCAACCATGTGCAGAGAGGCCCAGCAGCAACCAGCTGTTGGAGGACAGATGTTGAGGGAGTAGAAAGAGCTGGGAAAGGAGCCTCAGGCCAGTACCTCCAGGCAGGCTTGGTCTGCTGTTTAACCTCTTAATCACTGGCTCTGCACCCCTCCTCCTTTTAAGAGTTTTGTATAGAAAGGAAGCAGGGATAGGAAGGGTTTCATTTCCAGTTCTTGTTTGCCTCAAGAAACCCATGTCTTGAATGTCTAAAACCTAAAATAAGTGAACTCCAGTTTCTTTTAGTCTTATGTGTTTTAGACTCCACCCTGAGCTTCATTTCCCCATATAGAAAGGAGCAATTTAGCAGGCGGGGAAAGAATTCCAAAGTATTTAATTTTTAGAGGCACTTTCACCCAACAAATATTAGAGCATCTTCTGTGTGTCTAGGGGAAGTAGGCCTGGAGAATGAGCCCGACTTGGTCAAGGGCACAGTTCCACCTACAAAACTGGCTCTTCGGATTTCTTCTCTCTCCTGTGTGGAGAGGGCTTGTTGGTCTCACTTGAACAGTTGCTAGGATTCCCAGCCTCTGTCGGGCATCTTTCTGTCCTTGAAGCTCATCTGCCCTTTGAATCTCCACCTGTGGTGTGCTGGGACTCTGGTGGCAAGAGATCCAGATCTTATAGCATGGATGAGGGTGTCAGTAGATTTGTTCCCCAATGCCTTTGACAATTCCTTCACAGCTCCCAAACACCCTTTCCTTGAAGTTTCATTATCTCGGCAGCACAGCGGCAAGGCTGTCGTGTCCCCCCCCCCCCCCCGCTGCTTCCAGAATGGAGCGCCTAGAGCCTGAAAGCCTGTGTGGGCTGGAGCTTGTCCGTTTGTCAGACTTGGATTACATCTTCCTTTTGCTCTTTCTTTGTAAACTACCTACCCCCTATTCTGAGGACACTTTGTATCTCAGGACACAATGCATCCTAACAGGGACAATGACACCACCACCCTTTCTCCAAGGATCTATCTAATTGAGGAGGATGGTTTTGCTGATGGGCCAATTCGTGGTACTTCAGTTTAGGGCTGAAGACAGCATTTGAGATTTTGCTCAGGGGGTGAAAAAGTTGCAGGTGAGTAGGTTTCTAGCAGCACTCACTCAAGAGTGAGGTGGTGAGGGCACTGTGACCTACCTATATAGGCACCAAACATGGACTTGTAAACAGGAAGATCTGGGGATTCTCGGGGAGAATGGGACCAGGAATCCCATGGAGATCACATTTTCTGGGTGCAGAGGACCACAGCATGGAAACCAGGGGCTGCTGCTCTGAACACCAGACCTTCTCTGCTCTGCCTTTCCTTGATCTCCTATGTGGCACTTCTTAGAATCCACACCAGGAGTGGGCCAGCATTAGACCAGGTCCCTTGTTGTCCCCCACTGGGATGCCAAGTGTCCTCATCTCCATCCCAGCTGCTCCATACACTCTGTGTTGTATGAATAAGTCCTTGGCTGTTTTTGAACCACTGACTCCTGTAAAAAAAAAAAAAAATTAGTTTTAGTACCTCACTGGCTCCATCAAAGATAACAGGGTGTATTGAAGGTATTGAGCTGGGTGTCTGGGGTGGGCAGTGAATAGGAAGCAAAGGCTCTGGGAAGGCTGGTTGTTCCCTTACCCCAAAGTACAAACAATGGAAAGCCAGCCTCTCATGGGCAGCCAGAAAGTGGTTCCAGGGCTGGGGGTAGCAGGGCTGGGGGTGGGGTGTCGGCAAAGAGATTTTTATCTCCATTTTCTGAGGGATTAGGAATAGAGGCCACAGACTGGTCTAGATTCTCCCACAGGGAAGCCATGATTTCTGAGATCATGAAAAGCATCTCTCTCTCTCTCTCTCTCTCTCTCTCTGTGTGTGTGTGTGTGTGTGTGTGTGTGTGTGTGTGTGTGTGTATGTATGTTGATTGGGCAAAGGGCTGAAGCTCAGCCTGAGCAAACCTAGAGGCATGGGCAGGGTCCCTGAACTCCCCTTGTACCAGAAAGGAGAGAGTGATGTTGTGGAGTTTGTGTGAGAGGCGGCTGTGGCTGAATGTGCTGCATCTCAGCACTTGACTTTGCTGAAACAGGCAACACTGTGGTGTGACTGGATGACTTTTCTGGGCTGTTTGGCTATACACAAGTATCGTGAATGTGCCTTGTGTTGAAAAGGTGCTGGCCCTGGAGACAGAAACACAAACCCTGTTGGCATACTTACCTTATCTCCAAGAATGGCAAGGATGAAAGGGGCAAGCCAAAATCCAGATACTTAAAGAGCAGTGTGATCAGAAATGGTAGACTTTGAGGAGAGTCATGGCCAGGGAAGGAACAGGCCTGGGGGTGGGAAAATGCTGGGGGTGGAAAGAAGAACAAAGGGCTGAAAATGAGCTTCCACTGTGCCTTGGGGACTCATGATTGAGTACAGGATGGGGGATACTGACGATTAGGAAAGAAGTGGGCCTGAGGAGGATGTGGTCTGTTGGGTTTTGCAAATCAGAAGTATCTTGGACTAGATCCTAAGGATAGCATGGAGCCACCAGAGACTCTAAATGGGCCAGGGGACAGATTCTGTATTCATGCTGAAAATTTAGCTGCAAAGTACAGTATGGATGACACACTGACAATTCGATACTGAAAAGTAGGAGTGCAGATGGGCAGTACAAGGAACCTGGTAGGAACCAAGCCTAGAAAGGCAGCAATGGGGTGGGGGGTGAGAGTGTAAGGTCCTGACATCCTGACAGCCATGCTGGAGGGCTGGGCAATTGATGGTCTGCTTCCTGAATAGAGTGTGCACTAGAGAAAACCAGCTTAAGGGTTAAGATGGTCACAGGTGAGTCAGCCACTTTAAGGTAGACTAGGCTCTGTTGCTTCCTGGAGAGACTCCCAGCCTGGGAATCCAGGATGCAGCAGCCTAACAGCCTCTTTACAGAAGGCAGAGAAAAAAGGGGTAGGGACAGAGACAGACAGAATGGAAAAGAGGGAGTAAGGGACAAGGGAACATTCTAGCTAGACTCCCCCTCCCCCATTTAGTATTAGGATGCCAGGGGCCCCAGAGTTCAGGACTGCTTGGACTGACTGTGAGGCACTAAACAAATAGTAGCAGTCATTGCTGTCTTTGCAGTTCTGGATCAAGGAAAATAAGAAATTCAGTGATCTGTGGGGACATAAAGCCAGTGAGTGCATGTAGGAGTATTCAGAGTCAGGCCTGCTGGGGTCCCTGTCCTTGTGATGTTGTGAGACTTAGCCAATCCTAGGTCCTAAATTGCTTGTCTCCTCCTCTGAAAAATGAGAATTGAGATTAAACTCTGTGAAGCATTAGAATCTTGCAAGGCAGGCGATGCTCAAAACTTTCCCTGTTTTGTACTGTTGTATTTTCCTAACTCTCATGGAGTATTATGAGAAAATACTCAAATGTTAAGTGATTGTTGTAGAATATTTGAAGATTCAGTAAAAAAAAAAAAAAAAAAAGAAAAAAGAAAAGAAAAGAAAGAAAGAAAGAAAGAAAGAAAGAAAAAGAAAAAAAGAAGAAAACGAAAATCTCCCTCTCACTCATCTTCTTGGTGAGACTTGGATGCTCAGAAGTCTAATGGGTTCAAGAGCAGGGTAACATTGGGGCTATGTGAACTCTGGGCAATGAATGCCCTGAGCAGGAGAGAGGGAGAAAGATGGCCTTTCCAAACTTATTATCCTGGTCTTTGTCCACCTTTTGTCCTGCAGCCGATTTGGAACCAAGTGCGCCCGGTGCGGCAGACAAATCTATGCCAGTGACTGGGTGCGCCGGGCACGAGGTAACGCCTACCACCTGGCTTGCTTCGCCTGCTTCTCCTGCAAGCGCCAGCTGTCCACTGGGGAGGAATTCGGTCTGGTTGAGGAGAAGGTGCTTTGCCGCATCCATTACGACACCATGATCGAGAACCTCAAGAGGGCCGCTGAGAACGGTACCTAACCCGCCCTACTCCCAGCTCTTATCCACCATCCCTAGCACTAGATATGGTCCACAAGGGGACAGAGATTATACGTGGAGCATACGCTCTGGCTACATAATTTGCATGGGTCGCCAAGTCTAGACTGGTCCCTCCAATGCAGCAGCTCATTGGCCCGCTGGCCCACGGGGCACCCCACCCCACCCGCCAGCTTTTTGGGCAGTCAGGGAGACAAGCCCACAGTCTTCCCACATCCTTATGGGCCATACCAAACTAGAAACTAAAGGTGATCCCTGGATCAGGGGTTCTGAATATAAAGGTTTAAACGGGGCAGGGCTCTACCATACAATGCTAATAGATGAGGTTTCCTTTTCCTCAATGGGCCCCTTCCTATCCTAAGATATCTAGATGTTGGTCTATGTTCATTGAATCTCCTCTGGCTCTGACATTATGACTTTTCCAAGCCACACATCCCAGGGTCAGGGTGAAATTCTCCAAGCATGTGGTGTGGGTTGGGGTGATGAAATAAAGAGAGGTGAGACCCTAAAATGGAGTGGAGCTGTGGACAGAGGCAGCAACCCTTTCCATAGTTCTGCTGTTAGGATCTGTGGATATGCTAACTTCCCTAGAATGTGGCTGCTGTTTAAATCTTTACAACACTTCTAGGGGCTTTGTGGTATTCATAGGAAAGAGGCAGAAGCTATCTGCTACTTCATCTTTATGCCCCAGAACCCTTCAACAGCCAGGAGACTCCTGGAATGTGGTTGCCTCTATGAGTTTCATTTTTTTCCCATCTAAAAAACCAGACAAAATAACCCTTAAGCTGATTGCTTTTCTTGGAATATTAATATTGCACAGCTCTCGAGGAGTATGAACCACCCTACCTCAATTTCTAGGCACTGGTGGAGGGCTAGTCAGGAACCAACTGGCCATGGCCTCACCCAAGGCTATCACTTTCTCCTGCTAGGATCAGTAGCTAAGTGGGGAGGAACTGAACTTGGGGCACAGGGAAGTTTCCTGTAGTGCTGGACCAGTTGGCAGTGGACCTGGATTGGGAACTCAAGTCAGAACTTCCTCTACACCATGGTTAATCAGTAAACCACAGGCTCCTTTGACTCCTAGACCACCCAGGGCCACCCTTAGTCATGGCCTCGCTAATGACATCCTATGCAGGGGAACTTGAACACTTGGGGCTCTGTTCACAGCCATGTTCATTGGCCATCAGCATTAGCTATTGCTTTTCTTTTAAACAAACAACACACATTTATTATAGAGAAATGAGAGGAGGTGGTTAAAGAAGAATGTGAGATGTCATTATCTCCCTGTTTACATTTTCAGTTTTTCTTTGTACATGTAGTTCTTTTCTTCTGCATAGCCCACTGCCCCATTAAAACATTGCCGCAAATTGTGAGCAGTGGTTGTCCCTGCATGGTAGAATCACTGGTAACCTCCTTCTCTGTGCTTGTTAGATTTTTTTGGCTTTTGATAAGGTCAGTGTATTATATTTGTATTCAGAAAAATGTATTAAAATATAAATGCTGATTTACAATCATAGCAGCAAAAGTTCTATAAAACAGGAAGACAGTACTTAAGATATATCCTAGTTATTAAACTGTATTTTAGAGAAGGTAAAATGTAATTCTTTTAAATACTTCAAAAGTTGCCAGGTGTGGTAGCACACACCTTTAGTCACAGGCGAGATAGGTGGGTCCACAGAGTTGAGTTTCAGGACAGCTAGGGCTACACAGAGAAACTCTGTCTTGAAAAACCAATGACGATGATAATAATAATTAATAATAGTAAAGAAAAGAAAAAGCTACAGAAATATCAAAAGTAAAAAGTCACAGCAATCATACTCCTTGGAGGTAGGCTACTGTCCCCACCTTTTTCCTTCTGATTGTTTCAATTTCTGTGAAATTGATTGATTATAGCTTCTCAACCGCATGATTTTGTTTTATCTCCATCTCGGTTTCCCTCTAGCTTAGCTAGGAGGGAAGTTAGGATCAGCCGGGCTCCAGATCTGAGACACATAATTTGGGGTTCCCAGACAGGAGCTTTCTTCTTTCTGAGTCGTTCCCTCTCTTAAAACATGGGCGAGAGTATGAAGAGGACACCCTAGGATCGGGGACGATGGCCCGGGGATCCCCGCTCCCAGCATCCTCGCTCCTGACCCTTCCAGGGACAAGCTCCCCCCCAACCCGGTCCTTTCCAGGCTGCCACTAGAAGAGATGGGGACGCGTGGTCAGCCGGTTCTGTTGCCCCCCAGGGAACGGTCTCACGTTGGAGGGGGCAGTGCCCTCGGAACAGGACAGTCAGCCCAAGCCGGCAAAGCGCGCGCGTACGTCTTTCACCGCAGAGCAATTGCAGGTACCCAACCCTGATCCCCTTTCTAGCCCCGAGACGTCTGGGCGGGGCCTTGGAGTGGGCGTGGTTGTGCGGGACTTGTGACTCCGCCCCTTCGTGCTGTGACCCGCGGGAGGCCACGCGGGGCTGCCTGGGGCGTGGCCTCGGGCCTCGAGCCTCTGATTGGGCGGAGGTCTCAGGGCCTTCGTGCGCCCCGCAGGTTATGCAGGCGCAGTTCGCGCAGGACAACAACCCCGACGCGCAGACGCTTCAGAAGCTGGCGGACATGACGGGCCTCAGCCGCAGGGTCATCCAGGTGGGGCTCCGGGGTCTCGGCCTTCAGGTCTGGGGTGGGCCCCGGGGCGAGCGCTGGAGCTCGTAGCTTGTAGGGTCGTGGGTGCACGTGGCCGCCCCTTTCCAGTGTGGCCTGAGGTCCTCTGGAGGCGCGGCTGACCCTTTCCCGAGATTGCTGAGACTGCGGAGGCTGTCGTTCCAGGTGTGGTTTCAAAACTGCCGAGCGCGTCATAAAAAACATACACCGCAGCACCCAGTGCCGCCCTCAGGGGCGCCCCCGTCCCGCCTCCCCTCCGCCCTGTCTGACGACATCCACTACTCTCCGTTCAGCAGCCCCGAGCGGGCGCGCATGGTCACCCTGCACGGCTACATCGAGAGTAAGTGATGTTGATTCTGGGTCCGCCAGGCCTGCGGTGCGGGGAAGGGGACGCTGAGGAGTGCTTCTTGGTTTCGTAGGCATGGGGGATCTGAGGGAGTCAGGTGGATGAAGAAGTGAAGAGGGTCAGTTTCCCGCTCTTCCTTAGTGGGTCAGGACCTTGGTAAAGGGAACAGATAGCAAAACTTAAAGCAACCACTGTGTAAGTGCGTGGGATGGGGAGCAGGAACCAAGGAGTTTTGCCTTCTGATGGGCAAGACAGCCTAGAACAAAATTCAGGTGTGCAATTTTTATTGCATTGATTCCTATAGGAAAGATGCCAGGTGGGCGTGTCTGGAGATGTTGGGGCTGGAGGAGCATTGCCTCTGAGCAAGCTGATCTCTAAAGGATGAACTAGATTTACTGAGGCATATAGACTGGTGAACTGAAAATGGGCAAACTCTGGCTTGGAAGGCATCCTGTCATGGGTGCATTTGGGAGCAGAGGTCAGGGTGGCATAACCACCCAGGGCTGTGAGGCTTTTGGACAAGTCATATACTCTCCTCAAACTCTTCCATTTCCTCAGCTTTGAAATAGAATAATGATAATGCCTCTCAAAGGGTATTGAGAATTGATTGGCGTGGGCATCTGGCAAATATATACTCTGAGTGTCTCCTGTGTTCTTAACACCAAGATAGAAGAGTCAATAAATAGGCCAGAATTGCACTGCTCCCTGGACTTCCAGTGAAGAGACAAATTACTCCATCTCAGTCTTTCCCTCTCTCTCTCTCCTGACCCCTCTCTCCCTCCCAGAGTCCATGTGGGCATGATGGTAAGTGCTATGCCAGTGAGCTCTGGTCCCAAGTAGAGACAGTGAGAGTGGATGTGTGGGTGGGCGGTGAGCACTAAATGGGTGGATGGGTCATGTGAAATGTCTTGAATGACCTGGATTTCTGAGACAGGAGCAGTCAGTGAATCTGCTATTACGGAGTCTCTCGTTTTCTCAAAGCTGGTTATGATTAAAAAAAAAAAGTCATACACATGCATACTCTCTCTCTCAAGTAATCATCTATGGCTCCCAATAAAAGGGGAAAGAAGGGATCAAACTCTTGCTTATGGAGTACCTGCCTTGTGCCAGAGGTGATGCTATCTGAGGCTCTGAAGGTCTTAGGTCGTTATTCCATTACATAGACCAGGAAACCAAACGGCCCACTGTTAAGTTCCAGGGACTCTAATGGCTGAATGTGGGTTGTGGTGTAATTGTCAGGGATCAAGCTAGGTAGTCACTTCCTAGCTTGGTGACATTGGGCAAATTTCTTAGCTTCCTGAACTGCCAGTCAGTTTCCTCATCTGTAAAAACAGGGACAGTGACAGTAGCTACCCCCACAACAGTACTGTGAGCAACATTGAGGTAACCAATTTAAAGGCCCCACCTAGTACATACAGACTAAGCATCAGCGGCTTAGGGATGTGCTGTGGATTTGGTTGGCAGGGCAAGGGCAAAACCCTGTGTGCTATACCAGGCTGCCAGTTGGCACTGTCTCTCTAGACAGTTCCATTTCTCACCAGGAGGGACACTTTCTCCCTTTTGTTTCTAAACAATGACTTAATGTTCAGCCAGAATAACACCTATTAAATATTGCTGAAGGTGCCAAGGACTAGGGACTGTGGTTCCCAGCAGTCTTGGCAGCCAGCTAATACTTGGTGTGGAGTTGGTTACAGGTCTGGGTGACTTTTGTTGGAGTAGGATCAGGACTCTGTTCATGTACTCTATTGATCAAGCCTACATTTGTCTTTGCTTCTATAGAAAGAACAGTAATCCTTTCTTCTTCCCCTAGAGTCAAAACATGCTTAAGGGCAGCCTAGCAGTTCACTTTACGGTGAACTAAAGACATGGAATCTTAGACAGTACAGGGTTTAGAAGCAGACCCGGGTTGGTGGTGGTGGTGGGGGAAGTGGTGTCCTTCCACCTTGCAGTCAACTAAATTCAGTGCTTAGAATCTGATTTAAAGTCATGGAACCAGATTAAAACAAAAAACAAAAAACAAAAACATGTAGACACAGTTATTTGAGTAACTTGTTCAGAAATGTCTTGAACACCCAGAGAGTTGGGAATCCTCAATTAAATAGAATTGCCTTACACTACAGAAGAGAGGTATTCCAGAAAGGCACAGCAACTTGTCCCAACTTACTTATTACTTGCAAATGTCTGTCTGTGCTCTACTGTGAGCAAGTAGGGCACTCTAGAGAAAAGAAGAGACAGGCAATGCTTTGCTTTCTTGGAGAGTAGGATGAAATGCTGGAGAGATTTGGATCAGAACCAATGATGAACTTTCCTCAACAGTTTTAGGTGTTAGAATAGGATACAGAGTCCATTCAAGAAATATTTAAAGAGTACCTTGCAGGGGGTTGGAGAAATCACTCTGCAGTTAAGGGCACTGGCTGATCTTTAAGAAGGGGGCTGGAGAGATGGCTCAGAGATTGAGAGCACTGACTGCTCTCCCAGAGGACTGGAGTTTAATTCCCAGAACCCACATGGCAGCTCACAACTGTCTGTAACTCCAAGATCTGACACCCTCACACAGGCATACAAGCAGGCAAAACACCAATGCAGGTGAAATAAAAAATAAATAATAAATAATAACCCCACACAGCAGCTCAATACTGTGTGTAACTCCAGTTCTAGGGGATCCAGTGTGTTCTGCCCTCCACTGGCACAAGCCATGCAAGCAGTGCACAGACTTACATGCAGGCCAATCACCCATAGGCACAGAATAAAATGTAAAGAAGAAAAGTGTGCCTTGTGTATTCCAGAAAGATTGAGTGTGCATGGGAAAACTCCCATTGTCACAGAACCTGTACTCCAATTGATGAAGAGACAGTATTAAATAAGCAGTGAAATTATATGTAAGTCAGGTGATTAGGGATAATCAAGAGAAAAATGAAGTGCAGAAGAAGGAAGAATGGGGGCTGTTGTTGGGCTGCAGTTATAAGCAGGGTTGTGAGAACAGGATCTCCAAGGAGACAGTTCATAAACTGGTGATGCTCTAGAAATCAGAGTGTGTGGGCCAGGGTCTGAATAGGTGGGGGCATCCTTCTGTGCAGGAAGCTCAATACATTCATATAGGAATGTTGACTTAGTAGTGAGCTGGGCTGTAGACCTTGTTAAAGTCCTTCACACATTGCAGCCAACTCAATTGAGATCATTCCCAGAGCCACCCAGGTGGCAAGTGACAGAGGTAGAGCTCTGGATTAGGGATCAGCCTTAAGCTTGCAGAGCACACATCAGGTGGGGATCCTGCGTAGAGCCTGGGAGATGGGCTCCAAGGCATCCTCTCATCCACAGGTCAGGTACAGTGCGGGCAGGTGCACTGCCGACTGCCTTACACCGCGCCCCCTGTCCACCTCAAAGCCGATATGGATGGGCCGCTCTCCAACCGGGGTGAGAAGGTAAATGGAGCCTGGCTGTGTCTGGTGGGTCAGAGCCTTCCTGCTGGGAATGGGTTTCTGGCAGCATTCCCTGTCACTGAGTGGGTACCATGCCATGCTATGGCAGATCACATAGGTCCCCAGTGTGTCCCCACAGCAGTCATCAGAGCAGCTACTTGTGTGTTTCATGTGCCTGACTTCTCTGAAGTCACCTTTGTAGTCCTGTCCTCCTCACCTTTGGCAGTGAGGCCTTCTTATTTACCTACTTCGAATTTATTCATGCTTTGAGGTTCTGGGGAGGGTTTCTGTCCCACACCACTCCACTTTCCATTTTATATCCCTTTCCTCTATTCATTTCTGACTTTTGGCAGTAACTATCTAGTGCTGGTGGGTCCCAGGAAGAGAAGACCACATGTGATCCAGGGTCAAAGGCTAGGGCCTTTTTTGTGGAAGTGAATCTGTGATTGCTCCAGGCATTAATACTGAATCTCCTAAAGGGTGCATCAATGTCCACATGACAGGTGAAAGTAGCTGGGCCTACTTTAGGTATAACCAGGAGTGGGTAGGAACCTTGTCTCTTCAGTTCTAGATACCAAATAATTAGCCCTCAAAGCCATTATTTTCAAACAGCTCCTTATTTCAGATGTGGAGAAACAGGCTCAGATAATATTACAGACATAGAGCCGGGGCGAGGGAAAAGTTGTGAAAGCAATACCCTGAGGATGCTAGGTGGGGCTTGGACTTTACCAGGCATCAGTGTGTTGGTGGGAGGCAGGGAGCTCTGGGAATCCTAGAGGCAGCTTGGGAAGGCTCCTTAAGCCAGGGATAAAGAGGAGCAATGGAAGCCAGCATGAGTAATTCTGATGGGCTGTCACGGGAGAGAGCACGCATTCAGGACAGGCCTTCCTCACTGCTTTCTGAAATCTGCTGTGCCTTTGCACAGGGCTTCTTAGATAGTGGGCGCCAAGGAGAGGGGGAGAAGGATGAAGGTCCAGACAGCCCAGCAGGACATATAGTAGCATTGTATCAGATGCTAGTAAGCAAGCTCCAGGAAGATGCCCCTGGACTTCTCACCACAGTGAGAGCTGCTGACTGTTGAGTCCCCCCTCTGCTTGAGGCTGGCACTTTATACACATTGGTTGACACCTCCCGCTACCTTCAGTGGGGACTTGCCCTTTTCTTCTTTTCTTTTTTCGTGGGGTGTGTGTGTGTGTGTGTTTTGTTTTGTTTTTCAGATAGTGTGTGCGTGTGTGTGTGTGTGTGTGTGTGTGTGTGTGTGTGTGTGTGTGTGTGTGTGTGTGTGTGTGTAGCCTTGGCTGTCCTAGCTCCCTCTGTACACCAGGCTGGCCTTGAACTCACAGAGGTCCGACAGCCTCTGCCTCCTGAGTGCTGGGATTAAAGATGTGCTCCACTACACCTGGCATGGCCTTTTCATTGACAGAGAAACAAAATCAGAGAGGTGGCACTATTTGACCTGGGGGTTCCAAACACTGGAATGTGAAGTCTATACAGTTTAGTTGTTGATGCTTTTGTGTGGCACTTCACAGTTTATACAGTACTCTTTCTGACCTCATCTTTTGTTCTCAGCCTCCCTGAGTGTGTGTGTGTGTGGGGGGGTATAATCCTCTCATTTTCAACTCCATAGAAATTAAGGCTCAGAGAAAGTAGTAGCTCACCCAGGGTCACAGTGGACACGGCAGAAGTGATCTGGATCCTAGCACTGCTGACTTGAAGGTGGACCCGGCACTGGGACTGCAGAGGGAGAAAGAATAATATAAGGGCTGTGTGGTTTAGACAGGTTTGGGGCCGTTACTTTGTAGGGTGTTGGAACAGATAGACTGGGGGACAAGCATGACTCCAGAGGAGTGACAAGCTCAAGGAGAGAGGCAGGGAAGGAAAGGGCATCCATGTCAAAAAATAACAACAACAACAAAATAGAAGAAACAGAGCTCAAAGAACCTCTGATGGCCCAGGGAAGTAGGGGGAACTGGCAGAGACCATGTCACAAAAGGCCCTGTCTGTGGAGTGAAGGCTTTGAGTCAGGGGAGCTTTGGAAGTGCACTGGGTTGGGCTGAGCTGAGCTATGGTTGTGTCCCATTCAGTCTGAAAAATGAGCTACGCTGGGTGATGGCAGCTTTGACTCTCGGTTCTTGGCCTCTGGGTTTGTCTGTTGAGCCAAAATCTCTCTTTCTGGGCTGTGTCCCCAGATTTATAGCCAGAAGTTCTGTGGGATAGTATGTGTCCTTCCTTCATGATCTACTACCTTTTGCTGGCAGGCCTGCTTGCCATTTCCTAAGTACCTCTGCCAGCCACATCAGCTTACACATGTGAGTGAAGTCTGCTGGGTCACAAGTGTAGGGCAGGACAGACAGATGACCATATTAGCTTTCTCACTAATCTTTCTGGAAACCCTATGAGCATACTTGGAGTCCCTTTGGTGCTGGTGGCATACACCTTTAATGGCAGCACTTAGAATGTAGAGGCAGGAAGATCTCTGTGAGTTCGAGGCCAGCCTGGTCTAAAGAGCAAGTTCCAGGATAGAGGAACCCTGTCTTGAAAAACAAACAAACCAACACCCTCCCCCTCCCCCCACACACACAAAGACTAGTGCTGGCCTGGCTAGCCCTGATCACTGGGGCAGGGTGGAGCTTCCTATCTCCATGACAACATCATTTTGCCCCACTCTGATTAAGTTCCCAGAACTACATTTCTTTCTGGTCATATACCCTGATCCCACAGGTTTAGCACTTGAAAGGGTCTTTGAAGTCAGGAGGCTGGGTCTGGCCAGAGTCGTTTCCTAATCAGAGTGCAAGGTATAGGAATTTCCAGACCAGAGGGAAGCTATATCCAGAGCTAGGTGAGGAATGGAGTATGAACTTCTGAAGTCAGGTGACCCAGATCCAGAGCCATCTCCTCCCCTGAAGACCTTGAAGCACAACTAGCTTCTTGCAGCTTCAGTTTCTGCCTCTGCTAACTGGGGCTATTAATAGTTTCCGCCCGGTGCATAGAAGGCACTTAGCAGCTCTTGTTTATCACTATCTTCTTAGTGGTGCTCAGTGTGCGGGGACTATGAATGCCTGAAACCGACTAGTACTGAGCCCTACACATATATACCCATGGTAAAGCTCAATTCATAATTGGGCACAGTCAGAGATTAATAAAATGGCAAATAATAAAACAGAACAGTTCATGGGGTCCAGAGTAAAGCACATGGTGGGTCTGTGCTGCTGCTCTTGTTCTGAGAGATTTTGCCATCCCTATTTACACATGAGGAAACAGGCTTGGAGAAGGGAAGTGAGCTGCCCAATGTCTCATGGCAGTAAACTGAGGGCTGGGGTTTAAGCTCCAGTCTAGCTCCGAGTCCACCATTGTTCTTCAAGCCTCGAGGTCTCCTGGTCTTCTGGGTGAGGAAGGTGCCAGCTCAGCCACTTCCTTCTCTTGCAGGTCATCCTTTTTCAGTATTAACGCTACCAGCACTTGCGCATCTGTCCATGGGCACTGCGCAGCTGCCCCTCAGCCGCTGAGATCCAGCATCCAGCTGTGGCCAGGGATCCATCCACCACCTCTGCATACACCCCCACCTGCTGCCATCCTGCCCTCTGCCAGTGGTCCCCCCACCCCAGGCCCTGTCTGTCTTTCCCTGCCCTGCTCAGAACCAGAACCAGGAGCAGCAGAGCCCTCGTTTGGAAGGTAGGCTTCCTGAAATGTGGCATCAGCATGGAAGCAAGTGGCCTGCCCTCCTTCATCAAGCAGGATCATCTTTATCATCAGCTGATCACAGCAGCAATGGCACCAACAGCCTCCTACTTTACAGGTTTTCTTCTCCCCGACATTGGTCTTTATTTACTACCACCTTGGAACCGTCTCTGAATTCTGAATAGCCAACAACCCCCAAAGTTATAGACTTCATTGCTTTTGTCTGGAAAGCTCTACAGTGTTTGTGGGATGTCCCCAAAGGAAAGCTATGTTCTAATTTTATCATTTCCATCTGTCTGGTTCTGTCAAGTTAACTCAGAAAAAGAAGAGACACTGACCAACCCTGAGAGGCCCAATAGGGCAGAGATGGAGGCCTGCCCAGATGAAGAGGCAGAGGGACAGGCAGGGATGGGTGCCAAAGACTCCCCCATTGGCTTGGAGGAGAAGGACTGGGTACACTGGGCTTGGAGGGGCACTGATCATTTCATGGAGAGAAAAGAGCAAACTTGGGAAGGACCCTTCCCCCACCAACTACCCAGCAGGAGTCATTGCTAGGATGATGTCTCATCTGCATAATGACACTGCTAAATATTAGGGTGGACTAGGATTAGGGGCCCTTGTTGGCCACTTCTCAGTCCAGAGAGGAGGGCCTGAGCCAGTCTTCCCTGGGGTGGGGTGGGACCATTCATGAAGACCAAGGAACAGAACCCAGTGAAATGTCAGCCCAAATGTTAGTTCTGATTCATCCCTGAGGGAAGAGAGGCACCCATGGCCTCAGTGAGTACACCAAGCCCAGGATTCCAGCTGGCACCTCTGCAATTTCCTCACCAACTGCGAGCAGCTCCAACTGCAGAGCAGCTTCACACACTCCTGAGAGCAGAGGCTGATTCAAATAAAGGTCTCAGTTTACACAGGACCCCAGCTTATGTTTTCAGGGGATGCCCCTTTGTTCCAAGCTTATCTTGTAATTATGGAACAACTTGGTGGCCTGATGCACTTCTCACTAGAGGCTGCTGGCAGTGTTTTAGCCAAAGTCCTCCTCCTTGCTTTGAGAAGGAGACTCCAGGACAGGGAAGACAAGTTTTTAGTATGTATGCAGTTACTGCCCCTGCTTCATCCATGACAAACATCGCTAATCAATCACAGTACTCTATCTCATGGAGTGTGGATAAGGTTTCAGAATTTCCATGCTTGAAGTTCCACTTAATATGAGAACCACTGTGCTATTTGTTGTGGGACCTGGAGGAGGGTTAGGCGTGGGTGACATCCCAGAAGGAAACTTGCATCTTCTCCCTTCCCAAATTGTCAACTGACTAAGGACAAAGAGAAAGCACCTCCCAGGATGCTGTGCGTGTGGTTCAGTTCAGAACTCCCCTATTACCTGTGCCAGGCACTGATTCAAGCATTGGGAACCTGGCCTGATCTGTGGTTTGTGGAAATTCAGATCTTTCCTTTGAGTTTTGCTCATAATGATCAAAACCCCAAATGCAACCATGTGGGAAGTGGCCAGCTGAGCCTGGGTCACTCAGTACCCACTCTGCCTTGAGCCTTCCCCCAGAGTCTAAATTTTGCGTGGATCATGTGGCAGTAGCATGTTGCAGTTCAGATGTCTCCATACCCTGTTCAGAACAGCCTGGGCTATTTATTTAAATACACACACACACACACACACACACACACACACACACACACACACAAAGGGGGGAACACACAAATGGAAAAATTGCAAGCACTTTTTTTTTTTGTAAAACCAATGTCTGTTTTGTTACATACCTTTCATGTTGTGCTTTGTAAATGTCTTATTTGTGTAATAAATAAAGTTGATGCAAGTAGAAGTGCTGGCACTTAAATCCAGAATGTGATGGGATCTCATTTCTTTCTTGCTCTTCGGTTAAAGGTTAGGTCCCTGACATAGATGTGAGCTGCTGGATGGTGGGGTCCTAGAAAATTGGTACCATAGCCAGTCAGTGAACTAGGCTGAGGCATGCTGATGGGTTCTTTTCTAACAGTGTGGTCCCTATGTATTGGCTACTTTGTGGGAAGTCAGGCTGCTTGCTGACCATTGCTCTGCTTTCTGAATACCAATTGTCTGCTTTGTCCTGTGCTGCTGTGCCTTAAAAAAGATCTCTGTCTGGCCAGTGCTGTCAACAGACGTTCCTCTAGTATGTTGGGGGACTGAGGGGAGACATTTGAGCTGGATAAACAAAATAGGTAGGAAGCAGGAGGGTGCTGGGAGAGGTCAGGGAAGAAGGTACACAGTGATCTTTGGGGGAAGAATCCAATATGATGGCTTTGTCAGGTTCTAGGGCTACTACATATTCTGAACAGTGGTCTGGTAGTTGTCTGATTTATTCCTCTCTAAAATTTTTTGTTCAAGTCAAAGCCCTGAGAATAGAGAATAAAGCTGCCTATAGGGTGTGGATGCTTCCCTACCTCCTGCAGGGAGAGAGAGGGAGAGAGAGAGAGAGAGAGAGAGAGAGAGAGAGAGAGAGAGAAGGGGAGAGAGGGGAGGGGGAAGGAGGGAGGAGGGACAGAGAGAAGGGGGAGGGAGGAGGGAGAGAGAGAAGGGGGAAGGGGAGGTTGGGAGGGGAGGAGGGGGAAGATAGAAAAAGGGGAAGGAGGGAAACAGGGAGGGAGGGAGGAAGGGAGGGAGGAAGGGAGAGAAGGAAAAGGGAGAGAGAGAAGAGGCCAGGGGTATATCCCTTATTTTTCTCAGTAGCTCTCCACCTTATCTTTTGAAACAGGGTCTCTCACTGAATATGGAGCTCACCAATTGGGCTAGAACACCTAGCCAGCAAGCCCCAGGATCCTGTCTCCATGCCAGTAGCTCTGGGATGACAAGTACACACCACTGTACCTGGCCTTTTACCTGGGTGCTAGGGAGCAAGACTAAGGAGCTTATGCTTGTCTGGCTGGGACTTTACCAGTTGAGCCATCTCCTTGGCTCTTTATTGTTTCTTTACCCTCTACCCCTAATGCTGTTTTGGCCTCTCCCTCTAGTATATGCTTTAAACTCTATTTGCATATGATAGAGAATATACATTTAGTTGTGTGTGTGTACATGATTACATATGTATTTCTTTGCTAAGTGTCCCTTCTGTCTTGAAAACCCAGTTTGAGAACTACCAGTGGAACCCCAGCCTATCAGTTTTCTAGGGTAACTAAAGCCTTAGAAGGGAGAGATGACTTCCCCAGGTTTACTGCATGGTGCAGCTAGCTAGCTAAGAAGACTGAACCTTCCCTTGGCCGGTGGCTCTCCTGCAGGTCCACTCTGAGGTTTTTTTTTTCCCTGCAGATCTCAGCAGATCTCCCCCTAGCCTGTCTCTATAGGGTAGCTTGAGTAAACCAGCTATCATAACCTGTAGTCTGAATGGGGGGGGGGATATCCTCCATGGACTAGTTATGTAAAAATATAGGATGCTTGGGGCCCAAGAGTGGCCCTGGCACATTTTACCATTCCCTCTTCTGAATTTAGGTGACAAATGTGACCTCTGGGATGATTATATGCACAGTGAACAGATTTACTTTTATGTCTGTTTTTATATTGGGTCTTACCATGTAACCTAGGCTGCCTCTTGAGCATGGGGTCCTTCTGCCTTACTCCTCCAAATGCTAGGATATAGTGGTACAAATTGATATGTAAGTTCAACAATGAATACCCAACAAGTGTCAGCTTCTTTGACTATCTCATTTGACATACTGTGGTGCTTTATTGTTTTAAGCATTCTTGTAACTGTGTTATAGATGTTGGAAGTTGAAGGTTAGAGCAGTAACAAGTGGTGTGTGGCCATGACAGAGCTGAGATTTGAACCCTATATAGACACCAAAGCACCTTGTGGATCCAGTACCCAGAGGGAAAGGCGGTTCTGATGGAAGGTGCCACTGCTGAGACCTATTGAGTCACCAGCAAGTCACATATCTCTGAGCCACAGATTACCCATCTGCAGAAGGAGGTTCTCACCCCCTTCTTGTTCATTCAATTAGAAGTATATCATAAGATAAAGGTTCTTGAATGTTCTCATGCACAAGAAGTAATTGGGAATGAAATTGCCAAGCCCCATTTCCAGATATTCTGACTGGCGAGTCTGGGCTTGGGCTCAGTGCTACCAACATGGTACTGGCGCAGGTGAAATGGGAGTGTCTTCTAAAGCACTCACCCTTGGGGCCACTCAGTGCCTGAAACCTTTATTCTGAAACTCATCAAAGCTACAACGGCAGCCCATGGACAGAGGGAAACCCCTGATGGAGATGCTGAGGCAGGCATTCACAGCTTGGGCTTCTGTGCAGGGTTCTCTGCCCAGCCCTTGCGGCATGTCCTGACGATCCACTCGTGCTCATCATCATCTGTAGGGAGAGAAGCCAGTTACACCTGTACTCATGAGGACCCTACTGGCCCTGGGAGTCCCCCAGGTGGGACCTCAGGGCCTGCAGTGCCTTCCATCGCCAACTGCTAGCCTAGGTGTTTAGTGCTGAGTAGCTGGAACAGAACTTTATTTAACTATCATGGTATCTCTCAGCAAATTTCCTAGGCTGGGAAAATGGATTAGTTAGAGAAGAGTCATGGTTTGAGGATGGAGATGATGAAGACAGCTCAAGAGCATTTGGGCACTTTGATTGGTTTGATCCTGACAGGCAGCCTCACATTCAGACATTCACCTGCTGACAGCCGTACAAGCAGCAGCCCCACTGCACTGGGTCAGACCTTGACAAAAGAAGTAAAAGACACAGGCTTGGGTACCAGTTTTTCTCTTCCCATAATCCTTGGCTTCCCTCAGGTACACAGTGGGAGACACAGAGGGACTGCCTGTGTTATTCTCAGAGGCCAGACAGAGCCTTCTCCCTGCACACTATCCTCATGGCCTCCCCACAAGCGCTTCTTTCCCACCACTGTGCAGATGAACAGGGGCTCACAGGGGTCTGACCACTTGTGCCCAGCCTCCTGGTCAGCATGTGGGAAAGCCAGGAGGGTCTGAGCTCATGGATGCTGCTTTTCCAAGCCTCACAATCGTATGAGCCCCAATCTTCATTCCATAAGCAGCATCCCTCTGTGGATTTATTTTCCTTTCTTCCCTCTTTTTCCTCTAAACACATACCCAGCCTCTCCCCCACCACAACAGGGACCCACTCTAATGGCAGGGCACCCCTAAAGATGTATGCAGCTTTATAAAATATGCCCTCTTGCTTTGTGTGCAAATGTGTTTTTAATTTACAAAAATGGCATTGTGCTGTGAGCGCATTGTGTGCGACTTCTTTCGTTCTGTGATGGTTCACTTTTCCTATGGCCAAATGTACAGCTAGTTCTTTGCCACTGTCTCATATCCCATAGCTGGCTGCTCTCATGGCTGACTCTGTCCTCCCAGCCTCCAACTTCTCAAGACCAGGGACACCAGGCACAGTAGGGATTCTGCCTTTGTAGATGATACATGGGAGAACTTGTTCTGCAGGGAGCACCATGGGGCTGCACAGACTTCACTCACCTGTGCTCCCACCCTACCACCTTCCTGCTGTCCTCCTTTGTCCTTCCTGTCCATCCTTGACCTCAGGCTGGCTTCCTCTGGGCCACATAAATGGACGAATTTTCTCCTTACCTATGATTAACTCACTGTTTCCTGTAGGAGGAAGGGACGCCCCATTCTCTTCAGGTAACAAATGCTGGAAACTAAGGACTAAGGGGATGCACTGCAAGCTTAAAAGCAGAAGGCTAGTAAAAGCCTCCTCCAGCCTCTGTCCAGGGACCCTCCCTAGGGCCATCCTCCTTGGGAAGCACCAGGCCCACACTGGGAAGAGGTTCTTGGATAGCTGAAAGGGCTACACAAGCCCTGTATCTCATTGGGTCTGTAAGATACAGCAGGGTTTGGGGAGATCACACTCATGTCACAGAACTGAGGCTTTAGATCCCTTGCCCCTGGAATCTCAGACAAGTTCATCAGGAACTGCAGCCTAACTTCTCACCTCAGGGCAAACTTGATGGTGCTGGGGCCAAAGTTGCCTCCAGAAGAGCCTCACTATTTCTGTAACTCTAGGAGGGGGAAAGAAAAGAAAGAAAGAAAGAAAGAAAGAAAGAAAGAAAGGAAGGAAGGAAGGAAGGAAGGAAGGAAGGAAGGAAGGAAGGAAGAAAGGCTTACTTGTGAGAGCATGCTCTGGTCCTGGGAGACTTAGCTAAGCAGCCATTGTGCCTCAGTTTTCACTAGCAGACTGCCTGAATGTACTGGCTAAGGCTGGCAACCCAAGGGAGTATGATGGGGTGCTATGTCAGCGTGTCAGCACACAAGGAGTTAACCGCTGGTGGAGCCCACTTTTGCCATACTGTGAGCAGCCTGGTTGATAATTACAGTTCTGAAGTCTCCAGGCTATTCGAATCAGTGCAGCTGCAGCCTCTTCAGCGGTAACCCCTGAAACCAGACAAACTGGGTGTATTGTGCTGAACCAGTCCTCAGGCCCCTCCCTGATCGTTATAAATTGACAGCAATGGACTTAACAGCCCTCTTCACTACTCCGTTTACTCTCTACCTGGCTGCACAGCCACCAATTTGAATCCCAGATGCCTTCCCTCGGGGCAGCTGCTCTTCCACCCTCCCTCCACCTCCTGGGCGCCTCCTAGGCTCTCCTGGCCCTGCCACGCCAGGGTGAGGCTGCCAGAGCACATTTCATCAATATTTAAAATGGAATTAAACCTGTAGCTTTGATTAATGCCTCCTGGAGCCTGAGAGTAGTGATTACTATTTTGCAAATTGCGATTGTTGGAATATGTTAATATGATTGTCTGAGAACATCTTCACCTTCTCGGGTAATTTTCCTCCTTTTTTGGCAGGAGGGGAGGAGAAGGGGAGGAAAG